GACACTCCCCGTCCATGCTCCCCAATGTGGAGACACGCTCAGAGGCACACACAGCTGTACCTACACACAGGAGATTGCATTGCCACTCTGCAAAGGTGAAGAAGAGGATGGAGAAGTGAAGCTGAGCTCTGTACCCAGCTGCAGGCTCTTGCATAGAGAGGGGCTTTGGTACCACCACCCTTTACCGTGCACAGCATGAATAATGAGTCCATCAGTCCTTATGTCTCACACAGCTGCTGAAGGTCTAGAAGAGCAGGTGCAAGGCCAAGCAGGACAGACATAAGGACACAAGCACTGCTGTGACTCTTTCCTGAATCCCTGGGGTGGCAGGAAGCGTTGTGTGTCCATTCAGTGTTGTAGGATAAAGACTCCTCTTTGGCAAGGACGCAAAGGAGAGGGAACCTGCTCTAACTCTTATCTGAGGCAAGGGCCCAGGCTGCTGCGCCTTGTTTGAAGCAAGGATGGGTTTTGCTTTGCGAGAAAGCGGTGAAGGAGTGGGAGATGTTAGATGGAGAGTTCATCTCCAAGCATGTTTTAACATCGGTGACCACCCCATGTAGAGGAGGTTGCTAACCTGCCTGTTCACGGGGCTTTCCCACGGCCAGCCTCTCCTGTCTCCTGTGGGTAAAGCAGGACAGGCTCCAGCGCAGGAAGCACAGCTGACAAGTTTAACTCTTTTCGGGTTGAAATCTTGCAATTCTTCTCAAATTCACATTCAGTTACAACCACTGTGTAAAATTAATTGCCGTGGGAGCACAGAACCTTAGGACAAAATCTGGTTTGCTTCATAAAGAAGATGAGCTCAGTGTAGTTTTTACAAAACCCTGCAGCCAAAGGCAGACAAACCATGGCCATTTCAAGGTGGGGTCATCTAACCCTCTGTAATCATGAAAACCTTCAGGCTAAAGACTGGCACAAGTCACGTTTCGTCCCTTGTTAAAAGCAACCTTTGCATAAAAGCCTTTATTGTACGCCAGTGCTAGAAGCGGCAGAGAACCTACATCGCAGACACGTGGCTTAGTGTCTCCATCTGCATCCCATGTCCCCCTCTTTCCTCGGGGTATGCAGACCAGCAGGCATCAAACCCCCCAGCAGAGATGGTGCCAAGGTCAAGAAGGGTTTCATCTCATGCGGGGAGCCCAGTGCCCACCTCGGGGCACATGCTCTGCTCTGGGCAGCAGTCGCCAGAGCACCGCACCTGCCCTGTTTTGGGGGACAATGTGGCTCCCTGCAGATGTCACTTGTTATCCAGGTCATTTGCCACAGGCACTTCCCCACTATGCCCGCTGGAAGAGCTCAGAGACCTGCTTGTCATTGCTGCCCTATGGCTTTACAGAGCACTCAATTAACCAAAAACCTTTTGTGGGAAAAAAAACCCAAGCAAGACTAATTCTTTATAACCATCTTTCAATAAGTGAGTATAGACCCCTCACATAACCTTAAATTATATATCATTTATTGAAATATAGAGATCTTAATTTACAGGATTTTTTCAAAGACAAAATATCAACAGGGGCATTTTTGAAATACATTTTGTGCCTATCATCGCTCAGGCCAGTTTGCCCTTCTTCAAACATTTCACAACAGCCACCATTTTGGAAACACTTCCTTTTTTATTATTCTAAAATATAACTTTTGGACATTCAAAGTGCAACAGTTAACGTGCCTGTGGAATATATCACAGTAAAAAAAATATAAACAAAGGCAGTGATATAGCTGTCATAAATGTTTTGGCAGTATTCTAGAAGTCTATATAAAAATACTTATATACATATTGATGTATAACATCACCATATCTCACGTCCTTCATCATGTAATAGGACCATTTTGTACAAGTTGCAGAGCACGCTGTAAGGAATTGGTTGGCCATTCCAAATCAAAAGCTGTGTTTCATAGTCTAATGCTGATTGTCGTTATACAATTACTGTAGCGAAAGGTTTGGGAATATCTCTTCCAGTGGCTTCTCAAAAATTAAGCCATAAAAGAAAAAGTTTGTAATACTGATAATATTGTAAAACTAAACAAATCATCCTCTCACACTTCTCCCTCTCTAGTAAACCCCCTCTCTCTTCCTTTGCTTCTCATTCCAGTTTCCAGGCCAGCTTATCTAATTTCAAGCCTGCAGTGAGCTGGGTTTGGCTAGACCTCTGCCGTGGATGCAGTTCATCTACACGATACCCATGACAGGATGGAGAATCAACATTATCCTGCATCGGAAAGTGAGCCAGCTCTGGTTCACGTCCACTGTTTGGGTCTAGCATGGAGATGCGCTGCGAGATACAGAATGAAACTTGTGAGGGGAAGGGGAGACCGCATGAAAATGTCCTTAGATTCCAGTAACTGGTATAATAAAATGTGCTGGGGCTGATTTTCAAACCTTGAAGAACACTAGGCCATGTGCAAAAATGCAGCTGAAATTGCTTGCCTAATTTGAATGTGTAGTTGTAATGACTACACATGCAAATTAAGGCACGTGTGGTCTCAAGTGGCCATTCAGATATCTGGGATATCCAATAAACAATTTGTGTTTCCTCAATTCATAGTTCATAGCTGGAGGGAGACTTTAGATTGTCTCGTCTGTCCTGGCTATATCAAGAGTCTTTATGTTTCACAGTTGTCCCCGTACAGAGCTCAGTGACATGGGTTTGGCTAAAGCACGGCTCCCGGGAAGACACTCAGTCTTGTTCTGTTGACTGCAAGAAATGGAGGATGCACCATCACTCACGGTTCCTTCTGATTGTCAGCCTCCATCAGGGTTGAAAATGTGGGTGCCTCACTTCATGTTCTGTTCTCACATCTGCAGTATGCTTGTACGTGGCGTCAGCCAGGTGACATTTTAAATTTTTCCAGAATTATTTGCCTGTAACATTGACAATATTACATTTGCTTTCATTTGATCCACAACTGTCCATGACAAGTGAAGTCAAGGGGACTTGTGTAGCTTTTCTTAGGGCCATTTCAAGTTAAACTGTAGTTTAACACGGCAGCATGTTCTGTTGGTCACAGCTGGTCCATCTTTTCCACTTCTTAGGAAAAATACTTCAACACAGGGATGAGTTTGCGCTGCATTTGCATTGGTTGTGTCAAGCCAGAGGCTGAGCACGTCCTGCAAGGCACTCATCTCACTGAATTAAGGTTAAGTTTGAAAGTTGAGCACCAGAAACGATCGGGCCTTTCGCAGTGATGTACCTTTTTTTCACATGTAAGTCTTCCAAAGCGTAATATCTCAATAACACATTGTACAGTGATAGCAGTAATAGTAATATTTTGTTCAGATAAGTGGTGTCAAAAAACAGCTATTGCAGGCTGAAAGCAGGTTCATTTTCATGCACCTTCTTCCAAAAAACACTCTTGGAAACAATTACTGTTTGTAGTTACAGTCTGCAAAGATAATAGTCAGAGTTTTCTGTTCCTGTTTAAACTTGAAAACCAAGACAAGAATATTTGCTGCAGAATTATTTCTGCTTATTTAAACTCGACTTCCAGGCTGGGAGAGATGTCTTTGTTCCTTGAGAAGTTCAAATATCTAATTGATTCTTCACAGCTAACCCCAGGATAGGATTTCTTTTGAGTACCCATGAAACACTAATAGTGGGATGTTGCTAGTGGTTTATCACAATCTTCCATTCTCCAGCATCTTGGAAATCTGGCTTTTTTTTTTTTTAATTTGTATTTTTAGAACCTTACTTAATCAGAGGACAATAATTGCTTCTAGTATATCTGAGTAGAAAAGCTACTCAGGTCATGATAGAAAACAAAATCTTAAATTTTTACTCCTTGTTAAAGTAGTTTTAGCTAACCAGAGCAGTTACCATACTGTGTAGAGCCAAAACCCAAGTTGTTTCATAAAAATTTTCAATTCAAAAATTTTTTCCTTGTACTTAAAAAAGTTTCTTGACACTGTGCTTTTACTGAAGGACAATGAATTGTAAAATATACATTTAGTGTTACTGAAAACAGTAGTAGGATTATCTTGAAAACAGCTATCTTCTATAGTTAATAAAGACTTACTAGGTTTCTAACACCTATTATAGACTGTTTTTTTATTATTATTATTATTAATTCCCCTTTACTTGCATTAATGGTAAAAAGTAACATGCTATGTAGTACCGGTCAGTCCCTTGTGGTTTTAGACCTTTTTGGTCCAAAAGTGGTTTTTGCATGTTCTTCAATTCACATGGTAGTTCAACAGCAGCTGACATTGAGATTGAGGGAGGAAGTACAAAAAATTCATGAGCAATCTCTTCTAAAATCCATGGCATATGTTCAACGTGCACCTCAAAAGATCCTTGAGTAGACAGTTATTTACATAATTACAATGGCGAAGTATTGCTGCAGTGGAAATTCGATCCATCAGAGTCATATGAATGCCCTTGAAACACAGAACTGGTCTGTTTGTGGCCTTTTTCTTTGTCCTCCTACCAGTTCAAATGGCAAACAACACTGAGATGCTACTGAAGTACTGCAAGAAGCAACACTAAAAAAATCCATCTTCAACATGTTTCTTTCATTCATACTCAGGCTGATTTCTCTGCCCGTCACTGGGAGTTTCTCTGTACAAATCCACCTCCTCTTCACAACCTTGACATTGCAATAAAGTGGTTTTCTCTGTGGAGCAGAAGTCTGTAGATGAGACGGCAAGCTTCCCCGTGTGCAGAGCTGGAAGGTGCCCGTGGGGTTACAGGAAGCTGTCCTCCACCAGGTCCGAGGAGTCGATCCCAATGTCGTCCATCATGTCAATGTCCTCAATGGTCTCATCCTCTCTCTTGATGAAAGTAGAGCTACTGGAACCAGTTTCAATGGCACTTTCTTCAGATGTCTGGGAACTGGAAGAGATAAACATCTCAACGATCAAATACATGGTGAAGGTGGCTGGGTAACTAGTCTAGTCTCTAGCAGATCTGAACACTACCTCCTCACATGCTTTCTGACCCACGGCACAATCTTAGGTGACTCTAACTACCTGTTTCTTAGGACGTGACACATCTTGTATGTCAAGAGTAATGAAACACCTTGGAATTCACAGGAGCGGGTTGTTCATATGTTCTTCCAAGTACTTTCTGCCAAAGACTCATTAGAGAAATAGCTTTATGACACTGCATGACAGTAAGTCACTTAGGTAAATCTAGGGAGGTCAGGTGAAAATAACAAGAAGAATAACAGAGAGAGGTGATAAATCTTAATCTGGATAGTGCTTCTCAGAGACTTCATTCATCCCCCTCTTGAAAAATTGCACAAAAATATAAACAAAAGAAGTTTCTATGTTGCTAATTCTATACACTATGAATTAAGTGCCGGATTAAACCCCTGCCATTCACAGTAAGGGTTACACAGTGTTGTGCTGTGGTGGAATCAGTTGTACAAACTGACAAGACAGCAGTAAAAAGTCCTGGATACCCTGCTGTCAAAGAAAAGAATACCATGGAAGATATTAAATCCAACTTCTCCCAAACTTTGGAGCTGGTCTCGCAGAGAACAAACCAGTCCCTTGGGATCTCATATGCAGCTCCAAGGCACTGAGCTGTAGGGGCAAGACGTGTTGCAAACTGTACCCACAGAGCCACCAGACAGCCCCTGTGACTTGGTCAAGCTAGCAAGGGAGTCCCAATGACACACTGGAGCACCCTACCAGCAGTTCCCTTCCCCTGGCAGTCACAAAAGAGGCAAAATTAGGTTTTTCCCATTGAAAACACTGTGGCCAGTCCTACTACCATATTTACATGGGACCTTCCCAATACGTAGTTTCAACAGAGCTAAGGAAAGCATTTGCGGAGTAGGATGCCAAAAAGTGTTAATGCACATTGCCAAACATGACTCCGAACTGTGACTATGGGCTACATGATCTGTAAACCGCAACTACCTGTGCCTGTTCCTTTTGCCAAGCTCATCTTCAGAAACAGGGTCAATGTCAGGCAGGGGGATGATGTACCCACTGTCAGCACTCAGCCTCTGCTCATCAAATCCGCTCTCCCTGTCCTTTAGCTTGTCTTCATTCTTGTAGGTGACACCAATGTAAGCATTGTCACAGTCCCCTCTCATGCGTGTGACGGCTGGGTGATCACTTTTCAGGAAGTCCAAGTGAATCTTCTCGTAGCTCTGAAAACATTAATTTCAAACTCTTCATTAGATGCTATTCACTAAGGCTGCCTTTCTTCAGATCGGTAGCTGCAATTCATTAACTCAACAAATATTCTGCCCTATGACGCCCCAACACTGGATAGAGAAGCCCAGCATCTTCAAATGACTTGAACGGAGAAGCGACACATAAGTTTTAGATGATGCAGGAGTGAGTGTAGCAGCACAGAGCAGACAAAGAGATGTGAAAGAAGGGTAGGGAGAGGGGGAAGGAAGTGAAGGTAGGTGGGAAAATGAAACACTGAATGATGGGGCAGGCAGATCTTGTCCAGAGGTATCAGAAGTATGAGGGGAAAACTTGCTGATGTCAAGGTCCAAAGAGGGAGATAGGGAGATTAATCACATGGGCCAAGTAGTCCCTTTTCTAGAATTCTTTCACTGCCTAGAAAATCCCATGAAAATACATAAACCCCATTCTCCAGTAGAAAAATTGAGTTGGTAGGATTTCATTTGAAATGGAGAGTTCTACTTCCCAGCTAATGTTGCAGAACTGCTCTCAGTAAGGTTGCATGCAGAAACCAAACATGCAATGTCCCTGTCCGAATCATATAATTTACACAGGTTAGGATGTGCCAGTTCAGTGCTCATGGCTCTGACACCTGGAACAATGCTTCTAATTCCCTCTAAACAGTATATAGAAAACACAGAGAAAATTCCAAAGAGCAAACCTTTTTGTACTCTCCAGGCAACAAGCTCTCCACAATTTCACTCAAATGGTAAAAAGAAGGCCTTTTCTCTGGTTCGCTGTTCCAGCACTTCACCATGATCTCATACCTGCAGATAAGATGGCAACCAATTTAACCAGCTGGTAAAGGCAAATGAATAACCAAAGAGAAACTAAAGCCAGAATTGTCTGGAGACTGGCCAGATGTGGCAAAGGCAAATGCACACATACACTTCATTGGTAGCATGATCAGGTTTGGCCATTCGGTATCCACTCTTGATCTTATTGTAGAAAGTAGAATCAACCATCATGCCAGGATACGGTGTGCCACCTGCAGATAAAAGAGAAGAAAAAATACTGCTCTATACTTGACTATCCATGCAGAGTTCCCAAATACTGTCTTGATGTTCGTGTCAAAAAGTCTTAACACTATAATTTGATATGCCATCAAAATTAACCTTTCCTAGGCAATGTTTCACATCAGAGCTATTGTCTTGACCACATTAAGCCCTGAAGTGAAACATTGGTTAGGAAAGATTCAAGTAGGTGCTACTTAGAAAAAAATACCTTTACAGTGTTTATAGAATGTATTGATTGGGTGGAGAGGTTCGATGATCAGGTCATCAGCCTGCATTTGGCAGATCTGAGGTCATAGCTCTACTCTGCCACTGACTTTCTGTGTGACCTTAGGCAAGTTACTTGCTCTGCCTGGATTTATTGCCTTTGGCACCCACACGACAACTCAGAGTGATGTGACCTGAATCACTCGCCTCACCCTGGCTGTAAGGGCAAAGTCTTAGTGTGAACCAATCCCCTCCATACTCAAGTCTTCCCACCTGGGCAGCTAGCTCTAGACAACAGCTAACATGTCAGGTGCATGGGCTGTCGAAAAGATTGGACTTAGCCTCTGAGCTGACACAGTTAAGCGATCGTTTGGGGCCGCAGCATGCAAACACCATTGCACTCGTGTCCAGGTGTCACTGATGTGTAAAAGGATCATTCGAGCTGAAGTCAGTGTTGCAGCAAGATGTCAAAGTTGACCTTCTTAACAAACACCACTGAGGATATGTTTTGCGTTCTGAGAAAGATCATCTTTCTAAGGTGGAGGAGGCACACTATATTACTCCAGAAACCTCAGGCTTCTCAAAAGCAGGATTTTAACCTAAAACTGGGCTTCAGAACCTTCCTGACGGGTAGGGCAGTGAAGCACAGGCTTAGCCGTGCCTCAGTTTCCAAACTATCCAATGGCACCCATGCCTCCCAGGGATGCTGAGGAATGGATGTTTAAAGGAACCTATGATGCCCAGAGAATACAGTAATCAATACCATAAATAGTGGTGCAACTGCTGTTTTCTGAGAAGCAGCTATATGACAACTTGTTCTAGAAAATAAGATTATGCTTGGGGTTGCCATAGGGCAGTAGCAGATACCATATAGGCATGATTAATTCTGCTGAGAGTAAATCTGGGCAATGCATGCTTACTGAAGCAGGCCAGCCACCCACCCAGGAGGCTAATTAATGAGGCTGAAGAAGGAGCCAGGCTGTTCCCAGCTGGGAACTGTACATTGTCTGTAACCACTATATGTTGTCATAACCACTTCACGCTGCCATAAACCAACTGTGTGAACAGCGCTGACCTGGAAATGAGAAATCAGCATCCCAGAAGATTGACATTTGTTTTCATTCTGCAATGGGACTAAGACAGGCTCTTTTGAAACTTATATGAAGGGACTGTTTCAAACCAGCTGCTGGGCTGGACTGCAGCCCCAGGTGCCCCATTGCGAGGGGGAAGTATGTTCCTTCTTGTATTAGCCAGAAAACCCATCCTGGCCCAGTACACCAATACTTTTCCACAAATGCTTTTCATTCAGTGATTTCCATTTTCTAGAAAAAAAAAACCCAAAAAACGTATCTTGCAAAACAAAAATCTAAAGACAACTTTGGGACAGTGTGGACATTTCACCTCACACCTAACAATGGGATCTGGAACCCCGTATAAGAGAATAACAGTTGATTTCACACATGTATTTTTACTGTAGAATTTGAAATATTTATGTAGAACAGCTTGAACTGAAAAAACTTAAGCCCTACACATAAGAAGCTGTTCACACTACATACCAAGAGAAAATATTTCCCACAGTAGAATGCCATAAGACCAGACATCACTTAATGTTGTGTACAGATTGTCAAAAATGCTTTCAGGTGCCATCCATTTTACCGGGAGGAAAGTCTGTAGCAAAAAGAAAGAAACCCCAAACCACACAGATTAGTCATTAAAGAAATGCTTCCCATTACAATTGTTGTTCGATAGCCAGGATTAACTTCTCTCTAATAAGAAAAGTTGTGTTAACCTGGCTAGCATTTTTTTATAATTCCATATAACAAAGAGGTACCAGGATTATATGCAATGCTACTATTTGCTCCCCGCAAAAACTAATTAAGCCACAACTGTATTTGTTTTATCACTAGCAAATGACCAGGCTGATTGAAGGTATGATACTAAAGCTGGCCCTGCTGATCTAGATCTGATAAGTCATTGTCTGATGTGTCACTACTCTCCATATCATAGTGACAGTTCCTTAATAATTTATTCAGTCACAAAGCTTACCAGTTAAAATGTAAGCCTGTGAAGTACTAAGTGTGTCCAAGTACTTTTTGGCTTTCAAGCAGAATTAGGAAAGTTACATGGATTAATGAACTGAAGAAAAATTGTTCTCAGGAGCGTTTATCCCAATGGCCAATTAGTGTAACCAACACTGAATGGCAAGAACATTAAACAACATTTAAAACTGACACTTCTCATTTCAGTTAAAGCAGAGCTCAGGAGATTAAGTACATACGCTGCCCTTGGAGACATAGTTGGAATCATGCATGATGTCTCTAGCCAGCCCAAAGTCACAGATCTTCACGATTTTTCCTTGAGCCAGGAGGACATTACGAGCTGCCAAGTCACGGTGCACACACTGTATGGAGAGCAATTAAGTTGTTCAAGGATGTGTTAATTCCTGATGTGCAAAGATTCCTGAAAAAGATCTGTTGACTTTCTGGGTACAGTCTTAACAAGACCTTCTGCTGAACAGGCACCTGTATTGCCCCACTAACAGGGGCAGGGAAGCACCAGTCCTCAGAACCAGCGAGGGCTCAGGCAGATGCATTGCAGTGGGGAGAACACAAAAGTGATGCCACTCTCTCCCCTTCTACCCATGATGTACTAATGATATGTCTATGCTTCTGACCATGCTGGTCTGTGGCTGTATGGACCCTCCACCCAGGTCCTGCCTAGATCCACCACCATCTCTGGCACCCTGACTCCATGAACATCATGGGGTCCAACAGGAGAAGAGGACTGACTGCTGCTTTGATTTTTCCAACCATGGTGATATCAGTTTCCAGGTAAGTGAGAAAGCTGTCTACAACCCTAAAGATAATATTATATTGTGTCATGTTTTCAGAATCTAAATTGAACGCCATAGTTGGAAATGAAGACGTTTCCATATGTTCTTCTATTTTACTTGCTTTTTTATTTACTTACATTTTTAGAAGCCAAGAATTCCATTCCCCGTGCAACCTGGTAGGTGAAGCTCAGCAAATCCAGTAAGCAAAGGCCCTCTGAACTGTCATCTGAAAGAAGGTTTTTGACTTCTGATTCTATTGAAAAAGAGAGAAAAATGTGTTTGTGCTGTGGTGTGTGAAAGCAGCAACGATTTCCCTCTACCTATTGCGAGTCTTAGCTGATGATTTTAACAGATTACAATGACCAAACCAGTCTTTTCATAATAACTAACTACTTTTAACATCCGCATCAGTCACTGACACATACTGCATTCTTAAAAACATCCAGTATTAAATATAGGTTTGGGTTTTTCTCCTGTCTGTAGTTTTTTCACCAGAGAACTGCAGGAAAGGCTGAAGTTAAAACGTCTCACTGAAGTGTTATATGGGTTGTTTACAATACTCAGCGTGTGATACAAAAACATTTATTTAGAAGTAGTGCCTTCATTAGGTTTTTGTGCATGCATGTACATTCTTATCCATTTACTTTTGCTGAACCCTGTTATGTTTCCCAGCAAGTATTCACTGGGACTAATCCAATACCAGCAATAAGGGTCAGGAATTCTATGGCAACAGTTCTTATTTTTTATGAAAGATGTCAGCAAAAAACCAGTCAAAATTCAGTGATTCATTTACCCCAACTGTCCTAGAGCAGAATATGAGTACATTAGTCTGCCATGTAAATCTGGCACTGGATACGGATCAGTTTCTGAGGCCTAGAGGCAGAAGTGATGGTGCCTATTTTTAAAGCAAAGCGTATTTGGTTTCTGAGAACAGGGCCAGGGAATGGAATGCATTCATTATCTTCGTTACATAATCCAGGCAAGTATTTGGGAGTGTTCTGCATTTGGTAAGTGTCAGGTGATGCGAAATGCAACTGGAAACAGAGCAATACGAATTACTATTATTATTGTTCATTGCTATTGCTCAAAATCTTGCAAACTACAAGACTGATGAAATCACTGCCTCTATCCCCAGAGTATAACAAAGAACACGAGCATAAGTTTTTAGCTTATAGCTTATACTCACACGCCTGCAGAACACAGCTGAGTAGTTTACATCCATATAGAGGGCAAAACTAAGATAAGCATTTATGCAAGAATTATTTGTATTAATGATGTATGCAGAAGGGACAATTCTACATTACCTGACATAGATTTCTTCTTATATGAAGCAGGCCGATCATACACAGATCTCTGAATATCAGAGTATTTAGATCCCTCCTTCCTTTCCAGCATTGGCACGTACTGAGTGGTATCAGCTTGTTTCATATCCATGTATTCTCCGGTGTTTTCAAATGATAATATCACATAGCTGAAATTGGCAAAAAAAAATGGTCTGTCAGCTAGTATTGCCCAGGTGACTTCCCTGCCACAGCATCCTGTAGATCTCACAGTTTTCTTATGGTGTACAACTGTATTGCTGTGAAATTTAAAAGCTGGCTTCTTGATAGGGAATACATAAAGATTATGTATTATAATATAACCATGTATTACCATGTATTAGTACATGTTACCATGTATCACTGTAGTCAAACACAAGTGCTTCCAACTTATCCTTTTGTCAATAGCCAGGTATGTAAACATATACTGTCTAACTTCCCCAAATCCCACTGAATCCAAGTATTACTACCTAGGCTTTTTAGTTCAAGGTATTCTAAATGATAGATGTAATTTATTTACCCAGACAGTTTGCATCAAATCCAGTCCTGCTG